CCCAACCGACACAGTTTGGACATTTAGGGGGAGGGGCTGATTTGGACCCTGCTTCTTAAACAAGGATAAGCCTGGGTGATAGGGAACAAAACTCTCCAGGTTTATTGCACAGCAAAAAGTACTAATTTTACTTATAGATATAATCTCAGCGAGTTTTCAGTCCTGACCTCGCCACACTGCTAAAAGATAGAAAGATTAAAAAGACTAGATCTAGGTCTAAAACTTCGTTGTTGACATCAGTATTACTCAAAATGTCCAGCTTCCAAAAAAGCGTAAATTGTCAGAAAGAACGATGCCATAAAAAGAGCATCTGTAATAGTAATTTTCCTTGCAATTGATAAAGGTAGAAAGTAGATACTCGTATAAGAAAAATAAAACTCACCGAGGACGTACATCCTGGCAAATATTTCCACAACGCTTGAAAGAAAAAGTGCTGTTTTGTGTCATTTAATACAGAAACATAACTTTGTTCTTCATTCTTGATTTAAACTTTTTTTTCAATTTCTTATTCTTGACCTAAAGCTTTATCTAAGAGGCAGGCAAAAACATACATGATATAGCTAGCGTAATATACACACGTGTATTTCCGATTTGTAAATGATCGTTTGAAATGTTCAACAATAATTTATGGCCTTTAGTTTCCTTGTAAGATATAACGCTTCCGCTACGTCATTAAAGAGTTAATTTGTTATAGACGACAGTGTAAAAGGAAGGTGGGAAAGGGTGATTAAAGAGTTAATTTGTCATAGACTGCAGTGTAGAAAGAATAAAAGGAAGGGAGAAACGTGTGTGTGTGTGGGGGGGGGGGGGGTAATGTAATAATAAACCCCATTATTCCTTCCAAACACAATGTTTGGTCTACCACTCACTCTTCTCGAAGACGATCCCCACTTGTCTGTCTTCAATCAAGGACACACCCCATTTCTGTGATTTGCTTCTCTCTACAGAGTTCAGAAACTTGATGGTGTCCAACTGAGGAAACCGACGGCCATCTCCACCACCCCCCCTTGCATAACACCTGAACCTGCTGCGTTCCTTTCCATGTTTATTTTACCACATTCTCTTGTTTGATTTGTGTTACTTCATTAAAAACTTCGTGTTGGTATTACGCCTAATACCTTCTGTAATATCACCATGAGCCAGCCAGTCGCACCGAGTTTTTGTCGCCCCAGCTGGAAGCTTCCTCTGTCAAACTAGGTGCAACTTCTAGTCCAGTGTGCACTGTACATTAAGGTTTTAAATGACCCCCAAATCACTTCTACATGCTGCTGCTGCTGCTGCACGTTTACAACATCACCTGATGTTCGCTGGGTGAGGAGTGCGTGCCCTAGTACTGAAGGGGCATCTGGTTTGAATCTTCTCATACGTAACCTGAACTGCCACATCCCTCCACACCGGAGTTATTCTCAGTTCGGAGTCCCCTCAAGATGATCAGAAAGAGCCAACGGTCAAATGAGCAAGAAACTATTCAGTGATAATAATATATATGAATACTCCGATATTCATCATTCTTACAGACTGGCCCCGCATCATCTGAATTAATCTGAACCTTTTTTTCGTTCGATTTCTTGTTCACTTTGATTATAATTGATTTACTGTTTCATCCATCGACATGTACCATAATATCCTCGTTTCCGCAATCCAAGGCACTGTATATTTGCAAAAATATGGGAATAAACTGTTCTATTCTCATATCCACTCGGAATGAGTCTCATTCTGGCTTTAAAAGGTTGTAAAATTGTTGCTGACAGTCTTCTACTTCTAGCTGTAGTGTAACTGTTCCTATAAATAAATCATTGATGGTCAAGTGTAGCGGTTCGCCTCGCCGGCCTGGCTTATCACACTGGGTTTATCACACTCACTAGATTTATCACACTGCGAGCGTGTATTTCATGGGTGTATACTACATACAGTGAGAATAATGATGATGATGATAATAATTGTATGGCGTTTATGCTTCGGCTTGTCTATGAGGTGAGTCTGAATGGCGTGCAATTTTAGAAACAGGACAGTCATTCATCTATTCAAAGAAAGATGATTTGTCTTATTTATTCTTATGTACACTACAAGCTCACCGTATTGCTACTATTATTATTATTATTA